CTTTTGCCATTTTTCATAAATGGGTAAAAAACAGCAAAAAAGTAAGGCTATAGCCTTAACTTTTCGTCCATTTTTAGCGACTTTTTCCATTTTTCATAATTGCCACTTATTTCATTTTTGAAAAAATGACAAAAAATGGCTAAAAAGTAAGGCTATAGCCTTAACTTTTCGTCCATTTTTCGCCACTTATTTCATTTTTGTGTTTCAAGTGCGTGATGCCAGGTTCGATTCCTGGTTGTATCAGGAGCATTTTAGCGACGGGCGTTGTTGTTAATTAATTCCACCTGAGAGAAGAATGAGTTAAGTGGAATAAAAAAGAACATAAAACAAGTGCTGGCGAGATGGTCTAGTGGTAAGGACGAAGTGTTGCAAGTGCGTGATGCCAGGTTCGAATCCGGATTGTATCAAGAGCATTTTAGCGACGGGCGTCGTTGTTAATTAATTCCACCTGAGAGAAGAATGAGTTAAGTGGAATAAAAAAGAACATAAAACAAGTGCAGGCGAGACGGTCTAGTGGTAAGGACGAAGTGTTGCAAGTGCGTGATGCCAGGTTCGATTCCGGGTTGTATCAAGAGCATTTTAACGACGGGCGTCGTTGTTAATTAATTCCACCTGAGAGAAGAATGAGTTAAATGGAATAAAAAAGAACATAAAACAAGTGCAGGCGAGACGGTCTAGTGGTAAGGACGAAGTGTTGCAAGTGCGTGATGCCAGGTTCGATTCCGGGTTGTATCAAGAGCATTTTAGCGACGGGCGTCGTTGTTAATTAATTCCACCTGAGAGAAGAATGAGTTAAGTGGAATAAAAAAAACATAAAACAAGTGCAGGCGAGACGGTCTAGTGGTAAGGACGAAGTGTTGCAAGTGCGTGCTGCCAGGTTCGATTCCTGGTTGTGTCAAGAGCATTTTAGTGACGGGCGTCGTTAATTAATTCCACCTGAGAGAAGAATGGGTTAAGTGGAATAAAAAAGATCATAAAGCAAGTGCAGGCGAGACGGTCTAGTAGCAAGGACGAAGTGTTGCAAGTGCGTGGTGCCAGGTTCGGTTCCTGGTTGTATCAAGAGATACAAATTAGAAAATAGGATCTGTTTATTTTTCGAACGAAATAAAAAAATCGATGTCTTGGGTTGCCTGTGCGTTGGACACAGTAGCCCAAGACAAGGCACAGTAGCCCAAGACGGTTTTTTTCAAAAGAAATAGAAAAATAATCAATCACAAGGGGAACCGCGTCCTCAATCACACGGGAAACCCCACACCAGGAACCTTGTCCTCACCGTCGAAAGAAATAAAAACATCGATGTCTTGGGTTGCCTGTGCGTTGGACACAGGTAGCCAAAGACAAGGCACAGATAGCCCAAGACAAGGCACAGGTAGCCCAGGCCGGTTTTTTTCAAAAGAAATAGAAAAACAATCAATCACAAGGGGAACCACGTCCTCAATCACACGGGAAACCCCACAACAGGAACCTTGTCCTCACCGTCGAAAGAAATAAAAAAATCGATGTCTTGGGTTGCCTGTGCGTTGGACACAGCTAGCCCAAGACAAGGCACAGGTAGCCCAAGCCGGTTTTTTTCAAAAGAAATAGAAAAATAATCAATCACAAGGGGAACCACGTCCTCAATCACACGGGAACCACACCAGGAACCTTGTCCTCACCGTCGAAAGAAATAAAAAAATCGATGTCTTGGGTTACCTGTGCGTTGGACACAGGTAGCCCAAGACAAGGCACAGGTAGCCCAAGACGTTTTTTTCCAAAAGAAATAGAAAAATAATCAATCACAAGAGGAACCACGTCCTCAATCACACGGGAACCGCACCAGGAACCTTGTCCTCACCGTCGAAAGAAATAAAAATATCGATGTCTTGGGTTACCTGTGCGTTGGACACAGGTAGCCCAAGACAAGGCACAGGTAGCCCAAGACGTTTTTTTTTCGAAAGAAATAGAAAAATAATCAATCACAAGGGGAACCACGTCCTCAATCACACGGGAACCATGTCCTCAATCACACGGGAACCACACCAGGAACCTTGTCCTCACCGTCAGGAACCTGGTCCTCAGCATCAGGAACCTTGTCCTCAGCGCCTGGAACCTTGTCCTCAGCGCCAGGAACCTTTTCAAAAAGTGGCAAAAATGACAAAAAAGTAAGACTATAGCCTTAACTTTTCGTTCATTTTTCGCCGCTTATTTCATTTTGAAAAGGTGTCAAAAAAATGGCAAAAAAGGAAGGCTATAGCCTTAACTTTTCGTCCATTTTCGCCGCTTATTTAATTTTTGAAAAAGTGACAAGCGCATAATATTAACTTTCACGTTTTTTTCGATTACACAGGTGGAAAAACCTGCCGTTTACCTCCACGGACAAGTCTAGTGATGCACGACTAAGGCATCGACAAAAAGCCTATTGGTGATAGATTCCAAAAATACAATTTTCATACCAGCCCAAATTCAAGTCTCTGCTACACGAGCTTTAAATTCAATAGAACATAAGGTTCGAAAGCGCATAATATTAACTTTCACGTCTTTTTCGATTACACGTGCAGCTGGAAAAACTTGCTTTTTATGTCCACGGACTCTCTAGTTATGCAAGAACGAGGCATCAACAGAAAGCCTATTGACCGTAGATTCCAATAATACAATTTTCAGACCGTGCCAAATTCAAGTTTTTCCTACAGGGGCCTTGAAATTCAATGGAACACAAGGTTCGAAACAGCATATTAACTTTCACGTTCTTTTCGATTACACAGGTGGAAAAACCTGCCGTTTACCTCCACGGACAAATCTAGTGATGCACGAGTAAGGCATCGACAAAAAGCCTATTGGTGATAGATTCCAAAAATACAATTTTCATACCAGCCCAAATTCAAGTCGCTGCTACAGGTGCCTTGAAATTCAATGGAACATAAGGTTCGAAAACGCATAATATTAACTTTCACGTCTTTTTCGATTACACGTGCAGCTGGAAAAACTTGCTTTTTATGTCCACGGACTCTCTAGTTGTGCAAGAACGAGGCATCAACAGAAAGCCTATTGACCGTAGATTCCAATAATACAATTTTCAGACCGTGCCAAATTCAAGTTTTTCCTACAGGGGCCTTGAAATTCAATAGAACACAAGGTTCGAAACAGCATAATATTAATTTTCACGTCTTTTTCGATTACACATGCAGCTGGAAAAACTTGCTTTTTATGTCCACGAACTCACTAGTTATGCAAGAACGAGGCATCAACAGAAAGCCTATTGACCGTAGATTCCAAAAATACAATTTTCAGACCGTGCCAAATTCAAGTTTTTCCTACAGGGGCCTTGAAATTCAATAGAACGCAAGGTTCGAAACAGCATAATATTAACTTTCACGATTTTTTCGATTACACAGGTGGAAAAACCTGCCGTTTACCTCCACGGACGAATCTAGTGATGCACGAGTAAGGCATCGACAAAAAGTCTATTGGTGATAGATTCCGAAAATACAATTTTCATACCAGCCCAAATTCAAGTCTCTGCTACAGGAGCCTTGAAATTCAATGGAACATAAGGTTCGAAAGCGCATAATATTAACTTTCACGTCTTTTTCGATTACACATGCAGGTGGAAAAACTTGCTTTTTATGTCCACGGACTCTTTAGTTATGCAAGAACGAGGCATCAACAGAAAGCCTATTGACCGTAGATTCCAAAAATACAATTTTCAGACCGTGCCAAATTCAAGTTTTTCCTACAGGGACCTTGAAATTCAACAGAACACATGGTTCCAAACAGCATAATATTAACTTTCACGTTTTTTTCGATTACACAGGTGGAAAAACCTGCCGTTTACCTCCACGGACAAGTCTAGTTATGCACGAGTAAGGCATCGACAAAAAGCCTATTGGTCATAGATTCCCAAAATACAAATTTCATACCAGCCCAAATTCAAGTCTCTGCTACAGGAGCCTTCAAATTCAATAGAACATAAGGTTCGAAAGCGCATAATATTAACTTTCACGTCTTTTTCGATTACACATGCAGCTGGAAAAACTTGCTTTTTATGTCCACGGACTCTCTAGTTATGCAAGAACGAGGCATCAACAGAAAGCCTATTGACCGTAGATTCCAAAAATACAATTTTCAGACCGTGCCAAATTCAAGTTTTTCCTACAGGGACCTTGAAATTCAACAGAACACATGGTTCCAAACAGCATAATATTAACTTTCACGTTTTTTTCGATTACACAGGTGGAAAAACCTGCCGTTTACCTCCACGGACAAGTCTAGTTATGCACGAGTAAGGCATCGACAAAAAGCCTATTGGTGATAGATTCCAAAAATACAATTTTCATACCAGCCCAAATTCAAGTCTCTGCTACAGGAGCCTTGAAATTCAATAGAACATAAGGTTCGAAAGCGCATAATATTAACTTTCACGTCTTTTTCGATTACACATGCAGCTGGAAAAACTTGCTTTTTATGTCCACGGACTCTCTAGTTATGCAAGAACGAGGCATCAACAGAAAGCCTATTGACCGCAGATTCCAAAAATACAATTTTCAGACCGTGCCAAATTCAGGTTTTTGCTACAGGAGCCTTGAAATTCAATAGAAAATAAGGTTCGAAAGCGCATAATATTAACTTTTACGTCTTTTTCGATTACACAGGTGGAATATCTGCCGTTTACCTCCACGGATAAGTCTAGTGATGCACGAATAAGGCATCGGCAAAAAGCCTATTGGTGATAGATTCCAAAAATACAATTTTCATACCAGCCCAAATTCAAGTCTCTGCTATAGGAGCCTTGAAATTCAATAGAACATAAGGTTCGAAAGCGCATAATATTAACTTTCACGTCCTTTTCGGTTACACATGCAGCTGGAAAAACTTGCTTTTTATGTCCACGGACTCTCTAGTTATGCAAGAACGAGGCATCAGCAGAAAGCCTATTGACCGTAAATTCCAACAATGCAATTTTTAGACCGTGACAAATTCAAGTTTTTGCTACAGCGGCCTTGAAATTCAATAGAACACAAACTGGCTCGAAACAGTATAATATTAACTTTCACGTTTTTTTTCGATTACACAGCTGGAAAAACCTGCCGTTTACCCCCACGGACAAGTCCAGTGATGCAAGAGTAAGGCATCGACGGAAAGCCTATTGGTTATATATAGATTCCAAAAAGACAATTTCCAGGGTGGCCCAAATTCAAGTCTCTGCTACAGGAGCCTACGCGTCTAATTTTAATTCAAGAAACTAATTTTTGTCTGGCCTCAAATACTCCGGCAACACTGCCTTCGAATGCTAAAAGCAAGCATAACTTTTTGGTTTGAAAGCAATCTTTATTTACATTTTTGTATATGATTTACAACATGATACATATTTTACACTTTAATTAATGTTGCGCGATATTTATGTTAATATAGAAACATTAGGCTGCGTCAACAATTGCTACCTAACACTAGGTATACAGTTATATTACATCAAGTACGGTGTTGCTCACAAGCAATAGCGGTTCTGCTGACTTTTCGTTTGCAGGCGGATCCTTGTTTGGTCTGCGCCCCACATCTTCTGGTAACGAGATTGCGTTTTGAAGGTGTACTCATCATGGTAGTGGAGATAGTGGTGTTGGTAGACTGTTCAGCGGTCAGGTTAAGATGACGTTTAGCGTTGTCTGCCTCGGCCGTGTTGAACGTAACCGAGGGAGAATGATGAGGAGCATGGCTAGGATTAGGCGTCGACGAACGATTGAACTCACAAGCCCAAGAACTTGATCGCGGTAAGTTTGGCTCTAAAGGAAAAATGAAAACAACCCGATGGTGATCAAATGAACTCAAATAATTTGCTGAAAATAGACCATTTGGAAATGGATCCTGATGGCATGGAGAACAATGGGATTTTCAAAAGAATGAAAAGACAATGGAACATTGCGATTACTGGATCTGTGGATCATGACTGGATGGCATGGAGAACAGTGGAATTTTCAAAAGAATTAAAAGAGAATGGGAATTACGATAATTGGATTGTGACTGGATGGCATGGAGAACATTCAACAATGGGATTTTCAAACGAATGAAAAGACAATGGAACATTGCGATCGTTGGATCGTGATTCGATGACATAGAGAATAGCGGGATTTTTAAAACAATGAAAAACCAATGTAACATTCTGCTTACTGGACTGTGACTGGATGTCTGGTTAGCACTCATGCTAACGTCATGCTGGATCAGTTCACTGTGCTGAATATCACAGGAAAAGTTGTATTCGGCATTGTTACCTTGGAGACTGTTATTGTAATACGAAAAATTTCCTCCGCCTGCACGAAAGGGTGTACAAGGCCCAATAGGTTCGGGTGGGGGCAGGCTATCAATATAATTCTTCGTTGATCCCAATTCCAGATTATTCATTCCTGCTTTCAAAGCGTCAGCTTTCTTCTGCGTGATTTCGAATGCGTAATGACCTGGAAACGAAACCGGAATAATAGAGGATTTCATCTATAGACTAAATTTTGAACAAAATCCATCACCACAGCTAGAAAGAGCATGTTAAAATTAGTAAAATTGCAAAGTTTGGTTGCGAAATGTTGTAAAATGAGGAACATATATATAGCCCTGCGAAATTTGCAAATTTTGTATTAATTTGTATTACGCACGGGAAATGCACCACTTTCGGCAAATGCACCACTTTCGGCAATTTGTATTACGCACGGCAAATGCACCCAAATTTGCAAATTTCGCAAGGCCGGCTATATTTTCCGCAGTTTACAACATTTCGCGGCCAAACATTGCAATTTTACTAATTTTAACATGCTCTAACTAGCTGCGGTGATGGATCTTGTTCTTCTTGCCGAGATCAAAATTTAGTGCAGTGTAGTTGGAATCATCCATTTACGCCGCTCAGTCATTATAAATTGATTTGGAAGCATTGAAAATAATTAACAATTATTGGATGAGGTTTTTGTGATATGCGGAATTATCAAGGTCGAGGTACGAGACCTTGATAATTTTGCATATCGCAAAAACCGAATTCAATAATTGTTTTATTATACATTTGAAGAATAATAAACATAGTATTTTAATACTATGTTTATTATTCTTCAAATGTATAATAAAACAATTATTGAATTCGGTTTTTGCGATATGCAAAATTATCAAGGTCTCGGTAAGCGTTATATTCAATATGATTTCTGGCAAAGCTGTTCAAGTAAAACGTTTCTATAAACAAGTCTCCGGAAGTCCAGCAGTTAAATTAATTACAAATATAAAAGAAACATATTATCGTTAAGATGTTAACGTATTAAAATATTTACTTGTTAAAGTAAACATTACAATTATGAAATGTACATTCATTTGAAAATTGAAATGTACACTCATTTGAAATGTACACTCATTCAATTTCACGCAACCTACACAAAATTCAGTTATCTGCTAGCAGATAACTGAGTTATCTGCTAGCAGATAACTGAATTTTGTGTAGGTTGCGTGATTGCGCGATTTAACTGTAAGCTCTTAGCCAATCAAATTGCTTTTACCAACTACAATGTATAATAATAAGAGTAAATTTTTCAGAGTCGCGACTGCGCATCCAAATAACGGCTTCTGCGCCGGGATGGATGGCAATTCTACGAAAGCTTCGGATTGACATGGATACGGCTACCTGAAAGATACTGTAAGGAGAATTTCGACGTTTCGAGGAAGCGTCTTAAATATTAATAATTCATGAGAAAAAGACGAAGGAAATCACTGCTTATATGTGATAAAAAATCATGTTCATTTACACAAATTTTAGCTTGATTTTCTAGGCATAGACAACGTTGATTTTTTAAAAATTACTTCGCCAATGAACTCATAAGATGGTCGTTTTTTAAGCCATTTAAAATATTCCCAGTCCGTGGTTTTATCAGATATAACTTACAGTGAAACCGGGTGTTCTCGTGCGAGCAGCATTGCAATATTGTCCCACAATATTGCAATTTTGATAGGCAGATTGCTCTCAGCAAATTGCAACCGACGCGAACAAATTGCACGTTGGAAATTCACCAAAGATTTGTAAAGAAAGCCTCTGATTGGATTATAAGAAAGAGGGAAGCCAGCCAATCAAATAGTCTGAGCAACTGGATTGGTGCTTGCCCCTTTCTTATAGTCCAATCAGAGGCTTTGTTTACAAACCTTTTGTGAATTTCAACCTGCAATTTGTTCGTGTCGGCTGCAAATTTCTCGGGGCAATCTGCCTAACAAAATTGCAATATTGTGGGACAATATTGCAATGATGCTCGCAAGGGAACATCCGGTTTGACTGTATATCTGATAAACCACGGAGGACTGCGAATGTTTTAAATGGCTTAAAATATAAGACACTCGGCTGTCGTCTCGTGTTTTATATCTGATCGTCCTCGAACCCCCCCTCTTCCCCCCGACATAGCTAGCCGCCTACTTCTGTCAAAAAGCCCTTTACTGGGAACCCAATACAGTTTTAGCACTCACCAATGACGACAGCTAATATCAGCATGGTCATCGTCATATACGACATTCCCGCCATGAGCTTGATCTCAACCCAAGCGTTGAATGGTACGAGGATAAGAGTGAACACGCGGGATATAGTAGGACCATTGATGAAGAGCACGAACATCGTCATGGCGACGAAGAACAGAAAATGACCGAAACACGTGGTTAGGCAACCAAGCCGGTTCTCAGCGCCCCCGAATTGACTGGCCAACCAGGATAGGCGGACGTCGAATCTTGCTTCAAAATCTTTAATAGACTGGGTAAGAATTGAGGATTAGAAAGGCTTTTTAAATACTGTACCACCCACACACTTAGAAACGCACAAGTTGTAACAAACCTGCAGAGGACTTGTACACACGCAAAAGTCTCACATCTTGTAGCAAGTCTGCCAACAAGCCGTCAACAAGTTGTGTTCGCACTGCTTGTCCCAAGTTGTTAACAAGTTTGTAACAACTTGTTAACAGTTGAAACAACCTTGTTGATGTTATCAGACGTGTTGCAAGGTTGTTCCAACAAGTCCGATACAGCCGTGATATAACAATATTGTTACAACCTTGTATCGTCAACCTTGTAACATTCTTGTTGTATCTGTATCAAACTTGTTAGAACAACCTTATGACAAGTCTGATAATGTTATCAAGCTTGTTACAAGTTGTTAACAGCTTGTCCCAAACTTGTTACAACAACTGGGAACAAGTAGTGCGAAGACAACTTGTCGACAACTTGCGAGCAGATTTGTAACAACTTGTTTGCAGACCTGCAACAACTTGTGCGTTTTTACGTGCGTAGTATAGCAATGCTGTTCCAACAACTTGTCAACAGAATGTGTTCGCACTGCTTGTTCCCAGCTTGTTGACAAGTTGTTAACGGCTTGTTGACAACTTGTCACAAAATTGTTGAACTTAACAGACTTGTTACAAGTTGTTTCAACAACTTGTTATCGTCCTGCAATTCAACAATTTGTCAACGAGTTGCGAGTGACAACTTTGCAGCAACTTGACAAATTAACAGCATTGTTACAACTTGTTGACACGCCCACGTAAATTGAACAAAAAAATGAAACAAAATTACTCAAGCAAAAAACTTGCCTGGAGTCAGATTTCCAGGTATATGAATACGAATACCAGTCATTTTGTAGAACAGAATTTCGGCTACTTACTTTTATAATGAATCCAATGGTGTCATTCAATCGGTGTAAATTTTCTATGATATTCTCATGATGATCTAAAGTTTCATCTTGGCGTTCACGAATCGCGCTCGTCTTTTCATCTGTTGTGAAAAAATGTTATCATGAGCATATATATAGTAAAGCAGGAATCTACCACATATTTTGTTATCAGTTAAAGGCACAGTTCAGCCTTTAAGACCCATTACAATCCTTTTAATAGAAAAAAAAATAACAAGGAAAATCAATGGACCTATTCCCTAATGAACAAAATTTTGATCTGGACAATCTTCATCACAGCTTGAAAGAGCATCACAAAATTAGTAATATTCCGAAGTTTCGTTGCGAAATGTTGTCAAATGCGGATAATATAGCCCTGCGAAGTTTGCCGTTTTTCAGTCATTTTGTATTACGCACGGGAAATTGATACCGCTTTCTGAAAAAAGGTATCAATTTCCCGCGCATAATACAAAATGACTGAAAACAAACTTCGCAGGGCTATATTATAATAATGGTATAATATTATCCGTATTTTAGAACATTTCGCAACGAAACTTTGGAATATTACTAATTTTGTGATGCTCTTTCAAACTGTGATGAAATTTTTGTCTAGATTTGTCTAGATCAAAATTTTGTTCATTAGGGAATAGGTCCAATTTTGTTAACATTTTTAGTGTTAAAAACATTGAGTTCACTGATATTGAATTATGCGGGAATAACGTGGAAAGAACAGAAAACGATTGTTCTTTCCTCATTAGCCAGGTGATCTTGATACGCGGAAAAGTACTGGCACTAGTTGTCAAATAGAAATCCATTTTATGATTAAAACAACTGAATATCTCCTGTAATATACTTTATTTCGATTCCATATTTTTGTCAGAGCTATAGTTCTCATAACCAAACATAATTACAAAATTTCAACTAGTTTCATAAAGAATAACGAAAGATATAATTGATTGAATACATCAAAATGGATTTCTATTCGGACAACCCTTTCTGAGCGCTGATTGGCTAAAATACGAACACGAGATCACCTGGTATGATTTGCGGTTTCATGCTGTCTTTTAAATGTATATTTAACATACCAATATATCCCCAGGTATCCACAGTCTTCGCCTTGATCTCCTCAAGATCCTCTACTACCGCCGCATGTTCTTCCTTTCTTTTCTCGTCTTGTTCTCGCAGTTCCGCGGTCGTGTTTCCTAGAGCGAATAAAAGAATTTCGAAAAAATTACCAGAAGAAAAGTGGCACACGACTAACTCTTGACGAAGGGCCTTCGCCCGAAACGTTGAGTTTCCACTTGTTTTTTAAGGTAGTAACATAACAGCACAGCACACTTCAAACCTTCCCAAGAGGGCTCACTTGACTCGAGCGTTTCCCTTCTCGATTTTCTCCAGCCAAATATGAACTATAAATGCCACAGGGACTGACAAAATGTTTTGAAACTAAAGACAATAGAAGTACAGTGGCATTTCTTGCATTTAAAAAATCTATCTCAGAGATAATCTTCATAACTTTTTTGTTCCAGGGTGATTTCTAAAGTCTGGTTTCCATATAGTCGTAAAAATAGAGTTACGATCTTTCTCAACGGCCAGCTTATAATAGTTTATACCTGTAAATCATAAGATTTCGCACACATACCAAAACTTTTCCGGACATAACATAATTTTTCCGAAATTTTTATGTTTTGCCCGAATGACGCATGGATTTCTATCCGATCGTAAAAAATTTTTGGGGGGTGTCCCCCCCCCCAGGCGCATACGCTTATGTTTGGCGCGAATACAAAAGTATAAGTACTTTCGTTTTGTATATATGTGCCATCGTCGTTGTCGGTTGCCAGACTCACAATGAATTTTATTTAGTCGCGAAAGGGAGAGCAATGGCGAACAATGGGTTAATCTTTTTCATGTAGTTAAGATATAAACCACGTGAGCTCGTATTACTCCTTACCTAACGTTGTAGCAATGGCCTCTGTCATGGAAGAAAGTTGTTGTTCAGCTTCCTTAATAATTCTTTTTTCATAATCCAGAGCTACCATATTTTCATTCATTTTCGCCGTCAGGTCCTTATTAA